AAATCAGTGAAATCATATTTTGTTACTTATTAGATGCAACTTACCGCTAGGTTGTTCGTCACCAAATTGAAGTTCAACAACAGTTTGGCGTTCTGCTTCTGGAACAGGTTCCTGCCTTTGGTGTTATACATGGCAGACCCACAAGCTCGGCATTGATTATTCATCCTTATATTTGGTGAACGTGCACTATTCAAAGTTTAATACTAATTTGCTTATACGAACACACGGCTGCCTAACTTCAGGGTTGATTGAGAAAAACATCGATAGCTGTATCGATAATATCGACGCGCGAAACTGCACAATTATTTTGTAAATACAAATGGCATTTGCCGTCGCTCTCGCCATCGCCAAGATATGCGCAAATAGATTGTAAATTATAGGGAAATGGCGAGTCTCGATCATGCTCTCGTTGAATACGGACGCGTCCCAACATCGCTGTGAAAGACTGTGCAAAAGCAATAAAAACGGACAAGCCCACTACAGTGGCAACAATAAACAACAACTCTATCGTCTAACTTGTGCGAAAACTATTAGGCGCGCGACCCAAATCTACCTGTCACTAAAATGGAATAACGTTCATCAAAGTCCCTTGTTAAAGACTCTCGGAAGGTTCACAAAACAATGTCCAAAACCATGCCCACAGCCAACTGCTAACCCTCATGTTCCCTGGCAGGACAGCGGAGCTCCTGTAGCTGGAAGTATCCCAAAAAGAAAACCCCACTCAACTGAATGCAGTCCACCAAGTGGTCAAAACCCTACTTCTTCAAATTACTTGTCCTCCTGCTACCTTATGGACAAGCTCTCAGTTCCGCTCTTTATTATCTAGTTTTGATCCAAAATACATTGCAGCTGGGGACTGGAATGCGAACCACCAATGGTGGGGAAACCCTCGCTCCTGCCCTAGAGGCCGCGAAATCACATATAACTAGGCCACAACTATATAATCTCAAGTGGAGCCAACATTCATGCCACTGGCAAGGCCCTAGTGCCCTGGATTTCGCTATCTACAAAGGCGTTCCCCATAGATTCCTGCACGTACAAGCGAACTTCGACCTTCCTTCCGATCACTTACCGCTTCTCATTGAAATGCGCTCATCCCCTGTCGACTCATCCAGGAAGCAGCTCTCTCTGCAGAACCACCTTGTGCGTAGCAGGAGAAGATTAAGGAAAGCTTACATTAGAGCTCACGACCCAGACATTAAAGCTCAGATGCACAGAGCAAGCAGAAACTTTCAAAAGGCCCTCGCTGATCAAAACAGAGCCGTTACAACCGAAAGTGGCCAGGTCAATCTCTGGAAACTCTTCTCTCCCGTGGCATCAAGAGGCAGCCACTGTGCAGCTTTCCTATAAGAAACGACAACGGTACCTGGGTTAAGTCTGACTTGGAAAAAGCAGAAGCGTTCGCTAGAAATATGGAGACTAGATTCACTCCAGCCGATGTAGCACCTCAGGATCACACGCGAGCAGTCTCCTGGTACTCAGAAGCGCCCCTACAGATGTCGATACCAACCCTGCCAGTTTCGCCCGCTGAAGCGGAAATAAAAGCCCTTCTGAACAATAAAGCTCCTGGGCACGACTTAATAGATACCCGCATCGCAAAACTGCTTCCACGCGAGGGAATTATGTATCTAGTTGGACTTTACAATGGAAGTGTGCACTGATTGTGATGATACTAAAGGCAGGTAAACCAACGTCAGCCCTGGAGTCATACAGACCAATAAGCCTACTGCCAGTTTTCTCAAAGATATTCGAAAGAGTGGTGGCAGAAAGCTGCGTCAAGGAAGCTATGCCACAACACCAATTCGGTTTCAGAAGACATCACGTGACCCCGGAACAAGTTCACAGAGTGGCCCAACACATACTCCACGGTTATGAAACCAAGCAATATTGTTCAGGGGTGTTTCTCGACGTAAAACAAGCTTTTGACAAAGTCTGGCACAAGGGACTTTTATACAAACTAAAGATTCTACTACCCGCCCCACAGTATTCAGTCATAAAATCATTTCTTCGAGAAAGAACGTTTATTGTCACAAGCTGGAGTTCCGCAAGGCAGCGTTCTTGGGCCAATCCTGTACACATTATTTACATGTGACATGCCGTTACCTCACGACAACCCAAGCAACTTCCTGGTCGCCACTTACGGTGATGATACTGCTATTCTCTGCTACCTCGGTGTCCACTTTGATAAAAGCCTGACCTGGGGACCACACAGCAGAGCTACAGTCATCAAATGTCAAAACAAACTTAAAAAGTTGCAATGGCTCATCAACTCAAAAAGTAAGCTTCCCCTACGCAATAAAGTCTTGTTGTACAAGGCAATGATAATCCCTATACGGACATACGCCATTCAAGTCTGGGGATGTGCACTGAAGACGCATCTGAATAAAATCAGAGTCATGCAAGCTAAGGCTCTAAGGGCGATGACAGGTGCCCCGTGGTTTGTTCGGACCGCAATGCTTGAAAAAAGATCTCCTCATCCCAAAAGTTGGCGATCAAATTAACCATCACAGCAGCCGATACAACGACAGGCTCATTAACCATCCAAATGAAGCAGCTAGAGGATTACTGCACCCACAAATCCCACGTAGGGTTTCAATATTTAACTCAAAATGTTGTAGTGGATGCCCTAACCCGTTCCTTTTGCCAGAGAAGGATCTTCATTCGGAGGCCCTTTAGTTACGTCTTCTATGAGATAAAATAAACGCTTGTAATATACATATATCGATACGTATTTGAAAATATCAAGGTGAATATATATAATATTTCGTGCAGATTTTGTTAATGTCAGCTCGGCCCAAATTGCTTGCCAAATAGCGTGATCAGGTCAGTCCACGATCAGCCAAACTCTGCGCATCGTGGATTCAGGAAATGCGTGGATCGAATTCGGCGTCTCACAGTGAGGCCTTCGCCCATTTCAGCTTGCTAAATTAAAGTTCTGCGCGAAATACAAAATGTAGATATCTTCATGAAATAAACATTACTTAAAAGGAAAATCTTTCAAAATTAGGCCTGCACAATTACACGCTGAAAAGTTGAACTTTATTCCGGAGCATATTTGCCTGTATAAAAAGTTTTTTTGTAATTTAATAGGTAATCGAATCTAATAAAAAAAAAAAAAAAACAATTCATATTATAAACCTTTGTCTATTTTTGTATTTTTGTAAAATTATTGTTATTATTATTGTAAGAGATGGAGAGAGATAACTAACAAAGGTGGTTTAGAGCTGGCTGCAGGGCCTTGGCCTTGGGCTATGTTGTTGGACATTGCTATTGATGGTGGTGGTGTATTGACAAATGTTGTGAATTAACCTAATAATAACTAGTTGATTGAGTAGTTTATACATTTATTGGATACATGGCTTTGGCTATCTTATTATGCATTATTGTATTTAAAGGAGCTTTTAGAGTTTGTGGTACATGTTGGATATTTTAAGGAAGAGTACGATTTTTTGTATGTTGTTTGGGTTAAGGTTTTTAAGGAGATCTGTCGGGTGAGAGCTGGACATGAATTAAGTAGGTAGCGTTGTTATTTTGGCGAAAAGAGCAGGATGGTGGTTGGTTACGGTTAAGCTAATGTTGAATAAGCCGAAGTTAATTTTTAACTGATCCAGCCTGCTAAACTTTTGGTGGCAGGAGCCAAAGTAATTTTTGTAAAATAGTCATCCACATTTCAAGTATTATCCAACAAATTAAATGTCTTTAAAGAATAACTATTTGTGGATTTTTGTACCTGCTCTTTGAATATTCCTTTACCTACGGTTGAAAGGGCGTTTTGTGCTTCTTAACCATTTGTCTTTTGAATCGATTTAACTGACGAAACGTCACACGAAAATCGGTCAATACATGATTTGGTTTGGCGTGTTTATTTGGCCGTTTGTCTTGCGAGGTTGTCAATTAAGCGGTTCCGATTTTGAAAGCTCTTCAAAATTCTCCATCAGATGCGTATATTCATATTATCCAAGGCACTCAACAAATTGTTTGATTTTTGCCACCTTTTTTCGGCTCAGGCCCTACTGTCCTCCGACTCAATGACACACAAAATTAAATACCAAAAATATTTCTATTGCTATTTGTTGTTTGTTACTGAAGTCCTTGCATCGGAATTCAGAATATTTGGAATAAAAACGATTAATTTGGTTAAAAAATATAAAATAAAAATAAGAATAAAAAATTCCTACCAATTAAATATTTAAACCAGATTTAAGACTGTTCATATCCAGAGAAGAATGGAGATAAACCATTAAACACATGAATACACCCTGTACAAAAAAGTCAACTTAAATTTAACACTTGATCAATATCTATTATCTAGTCTCTGTTCCTTTCCAGACAAGCTATCAATGGACCCAAATCACATTCAATTCATTTTCCATCTGTGCCTACACATGGCCTTGTAGATGAAGTGCCCCACTGCACAAGGGCTGTGCCGTGCCACCAAGTGTTCCACACCTCTGCTTGCCACGAGGTGCTTTTTCTGCTACGCTTGTAGAAGTCTTCTACCTCATCTGGATGGAATACGTCTTGGAAGAAAGGCAGCAGTCAATTTAAAAATTGGATGCTACGCTTTCTCGAAAGCCAGCTGGCTCTATGAGAAGATCAGGACTCACAATCGATCACCACTAGCATGGGGTCGTCCCAATACACCAAATCGTAGAAGCATCGACAGCTCGTGGGTCTATTGCGAGGCATTCCCAAGCTACCATCTACACTTCGCACTTCGGACAGCTCAAGTGACAGACCTCAAAGCTGTTCCTGTAGGGTCTTCAGCGAGGCCTTTATAAAAAGTCGCAGCTACAGATCTTGGGACAGGTAACTCCAGTGTCCTGCCCTTGCAGCGCGCGATCCTACCCAGCGAATCTGAGTCCCAACCACATGAATATGCAATTACTTACTCGTCCATAACGTTATTTATACAAAAGATTCATTAATAAAGGCACATTATAAGTAATGGTATCAGAAGCTTACTTCGCGAATGGACCAATAGATTCTTTGGAGTTAAAATTACATGCTCATTTGAGTGTGGTAAAGACTAATATGTCTCTTCAGCACAGTAGCAAGGGTGAAAGACATGTCACAAGTTGGGCAGACAAACGCCGCCTGCCTTGTATGGGTTCTGCAAGATACAACAAACTCAGTACTAGCCTCCAATCGTTTCGAACTCTTACCTCTCATGACGGATGGTGTTTCCCTTAGTTGAAAACGCTCGGTCACAGTATGAACACTTGCATGATGTCTCCGCCGTGTGCGATCGCATGTGGCAACTGAGCCCAAAGGGGCTTACAAAGGTTTGCTCGCAAAATCTAGAGGAAATCGTTGATCGATCATTAAATGAAATTGAATAAACAGCATTCGAATTTCAGTTCATACGTACTTGCATTTGAGCTTATTCATTGTGCAGCTTCGTCGCTTGAGGATTTTCTTGGGCAAAAGATGGCGTTTGTCAGATTGAGCGGCATTTTTGGAGGTTAGACGAGTGGATCGGGGGGATCTGAAGGTGGAGCGCTCGGCCAATTGTTTTGGAGCCTTGATAATATTTTCGGTAAGACTGCTCTTCTTCTTTTCGTGTCCCGAGTCCTTTTGCAGACTCGTAATCAGCGAATCAGCAACCTGCGCCGTCTCATAGGCGTCAGTTCCGTCGAAACCAGTTTTACCGCCTAGCTCATTTTCCAGACTACTAATCAGGGAGTCGGCATCCTGCGCTTTCACCTCTGAATTGGATGTTTCGCCAGGAGTTTTGTCGTCTGTTGGCAGATCGTTTTCCGGCAGTCCCGCGCGTTGTTGCAGCAATTCCTTCTGAGTCTCGAGGGCGCGTGCTCGGAATATGACTGCGCGATTCAGAGATTCTGCACAAGAAGCACATATGCAGCTGGGTACGCGCGGATCCTTTTTCAGCTGCGTTTCATATGGAAATCAGTGAAATCATATTTTGTTACTTATTAGATGCAACTTACCGAGTTGTTAGTCAACAAATTGATGTTCAACAACAAATTGGCGTTCTGCTTCTGGAACAGGTTCCTGCCTTTGGTGTTATACATGGCAGACCCACAAGCTCGGCATTGATTATTCATCCTTATATTTGGTGAACGTGCACTATTCAAAGTTTAATACTAATTTGCTTATACGAACACACGTCTGCCTAACTTCAGGGTTGATTGAGAAAAACATCGATAGCTGTATCGATAATATCGACGCGCGAAACTGCACAATTATTTTGTAAATACAAATGGCATTTGCCGTCGCTCTCGCCATCGCCAAGATATGCGCAAATAGATTGTAAATTATAGGGAAATGGCGAGTCTCGATCATGCTCTCGTTGAATACGGACGCGTCCCAACATCGCTGTGAAAGACTGTGCAAAAGCAATAAAAACGGACAAGCCCACTACAGTGGCAACAATAAACAACAACTCTATCGTCTAACTTGTGCGAAAACTATTAGGCGCGCGACCCAAATCTACCTGTCACTAAAATGGAATAACGTTCATCAAAGTCCCTTGTTAAAGACTCTCGGAAGGTTCACAAAACAATGTCCAAAACCATGCCCACAGCCAACTGCTAACCCTCATGTTCCCTGGCAGGACAGCGGAGCTCCTGTAGCTGGAAGTATCCCAAAAAGAAAACCCCACTCAACTGAATGCAGTCCACCAAGTGGTCAAAACCCTACTTCTTCAAATTACTTGTCCTCCTGCTACCTTATGGACAAGCTCTCAGTTCCGCTCTTTATTATCTAGTTTTGATCCAAAATACATTGCAGCTGGGGACTGGAATGCGAACCACCAATGGTGGGGAAACCCTCGCTCCTGCCCTAGAGGCCGCGAAATCACATATAACTAGGCCACAACTATATAATCTCAAGTGGAGCCAACATTCATGCCACTGGCAAGGCCCTAGTGCCCTGGATTTCGCTATCTACAAAGGCGTTCCCCATAGATTCCTGCACGTACAAGCGAACTTCGACCTTCCTTCCGATCACTTACCGCTTCTCATTGAAATGCGCTCATCCCCTGTCGACTCATCCAGGAAGCAGCTCTCTCTGCAGAACCACCTTGTGCGTAGCAGGAGAAGATTAAGGAAAGCTTACATTAGAGCTCACGACCCAGACATTAAAGCTCAGATGCACAGAGCAAGCAGAAACTTTCAAAAGGCCCTCGCTGATCAAAACAGAGCCGTTACAACCGAAAGTGGCCAGGTCAATCTCTGGAAACTCTTCTCTCCCGTGGCATCAAGAGGCAGCCACTGTGCAGCTTTCCTATAAGAAACGACAACGGTACCTGGGTTAAGTCTGACTTGGAAAAAGCAGAAGCGTTCGCTAGAAATATGGAGACTAGATTCACTCCAGCCGATGTAGCACCTCAGGATCACACGCGAGCAGTCTCCTGGTACTCAGAAGCGCCCCTACAGATGTCGATACCAACCCTGCCAGTTTCGCCCGCTGAAGCGGAAATAAAAGCAAGGAAGCTATGCCACAACACCAATTCGGTTTCAGAAGACAGCACGTGACCCCGGAACAAGTTCACAGAGTGGCCCAACACATACTCCACGGTTATGAAACTAAGCAATATTGTTCAGGGGTGTTTCTCGACTGAAAAATTTTCTATATAACATATCGTTAAAATGTATATATAAACCTAATCATTTAACACTTAAAATATGTAGTAAGTCAGTGTAAATATTATTAATATTAGATCATAGTTTAAGTAAAGCTGATTTCTAATAATAAAAAAAAAATAAAATAAAAAAAAAATCGGGAAAAAAACCTCAGATATCATTTGAAGAAATTGAAACTAGTAGAGATAAACTCCTTTATGTTCTGTGTTTTAGTGCAGGAAACATCGGAGCGTGAAGAAGATCTCCCCATTTGTGGGGCGCAACAGTGTTCCCTGTTAGGATGTGTGCAACAAGTCCCACCAAAGCCTAAACATAGAGCCACATTATCCTACTGACCGACACAAAGCATCAATACGAGTATGTGGTCGCAGTGCAGCAAGGCCTTGTAACGGAAATAATAGTAGCAAGAATTTAAACACCAAGCTGCAGTGTTTGTGGAGACTGAGGTAGGAATGACAGTCAAGAGACTCTTGTTGGAAGTCGCAAATGCTTTTGTGAATCTCGGGATAGCCAGGGATTGCACGAAAAAAGAGTTTGATGGACATTTGAGGAAGAAACATTCATAGGTGTTACGTTAAACCACCTTCCTTTTGGAATATTATAATCTGTTCTGAATGCGAGTATATTGTAAAGCTGTTAAACATTAAATTGCTGGGTGTTCGCCCACCCCGAATTAAATTCTACAACAAATAGTAGCTAGTCTTAGTAGCTCAATTCATTCCATTTAAACAATTCAGTATTGCTTAAGAAACAAATCGAACTTTGGTATCGATGGATTAGAGATAAATTATTTACAGAGCTCCGCAGCGGTCATATATACATAGTAGGAATGCTAAAAAGGGCCGAAATGATATTGTCTTGGCAAAGGCAGATTGCTATTGTCGCAGGCACAAGATTTCTCACGTCCGCTTATTCTTAGTTAATTTTCCGCAGCTTCACTTTAGCAATTTTGGCCGATTTTCGTTCCAGGTAGTATTGGGTTCTACCGAACACGTAACGGGGTAAACATGTGATTGCTGGTAAAGCTCCCACACAGTAGCTTCCCTAGATCCATGCTGGTTTAACAGCAGTCCGGCTTAAGCTTGTCTCTTGATGGGAGCTTTCAGCAGCTACTCCCAAAGTACTTTTCTCTTATCTTCTCCCTTATCTTACATCTAGTAAAAGAGTATGAAAAGACAATACTTTAAAAGATGCTCGATGTGGTTCTACTTACAGTCACAACTGGCCACTACGCACGGCTGTGACGGGCTCGGAAGAATAAATGTGCGACTAGAGGTGTGTTTACAGGCTTTGCGTCGTCAGATATTAACAAACAAAATGTGAGTATGCTAAAGTGCCTGCAATTATTCAAATAGAACTGAATACAAGAGATAAGGTCTGCGAATTCGTTTGGGTATGGGTATGCGTCTGCGTCTGCATACTCCCTGTGTACGTATATGCAAGTGTTTTAACATTTTGTGTATTTCCTTTCTTGTTTTGTTTTTAGGGAAGAAAATAGGCGGAAGCAGAGAGTGGAGTTGCTGTCCTCGGATGGAGAAGTCATTATTATTGATAGGAAAATCGCCAATCGATTCGCAAGAATTAGAGATTTCCTAGGAGCTAATGATTGTCTGTACGTTCCGAATATAAGATCTTTTATTTTGCGGAAGGTGCTGACCTGGTCATTCTACCATAAAAATGATCCCGGGCTCAAGAGCGATAGCGAAAGCACATGGTGGTACACAGAATTCTTCAATGTGGACCAGACCATTCTATTGGAACTGATGGAGACAGCCGACTTCCTGGACATGAGGAGTCTGTTCAATGTAGCCCAGGGACTAAGGAGAAACGAGTAACTTCTATGTATGTACATAGGGGAATTGATTACAGGAGCCACGAATACAAAATAATGTAATAAATGGTGCTGAAGATAGTCATAAGTTTATTTTGTTATACCTATGCCAAAAATACACCTAACACCTAATAATTATAGTCGTATCTAGTCCTTGGCTGAGAAGGAACTGGTAAGGGAACAGCATAAAGTATTCGAGCGGTCCCTGTTTTGCAGTACTATTTCATGCCATCGGTCATGCCACCCAAAAAATGATCTAAAAGCTCCGAGAACAACAAACACCTGGCATCGGAGCAAGAGCGCCCGTACAACTGCTGGCCTGGCTGTGCCGAGAGATTTTAAAGCTCGCCCAGATCAGTACAGCTTTGTTTGATGGATCAAGCATCTTCGCTTTGATTCAGCTGAAAGTGCTCTGATATCTACCATCTGCCAGTTTTTTGTGACTATGGCATAGTATGATAGAGTGGTGTGATTTTTACAAGATTTTTGTGGGATATCTTCAAATACTAATTACCGAAATGGAGAATAGTTAAAAAAAAAATAACGGAAGTTTTTGTTTGAACAACTTGCTATATGGATATACATATGTATTATGTAGATGTCTGATCGAACCGACTTCGGCCAATGATTTGCAAATTCATAAAAGAAATCTATGAGCAACATTTCATTTGATACTTTTTAAGCTTTTCAAGGCTCATACATATGTATACATATACATACATACATAGAGATATGTACATACATATATATGTATGTAGCTGTCAGAGCATCATTTAAATCAGCTGACAGTCTGCGCATCCCAGCTGGGCTAATGCTGCCTTAAAAAAGCTCAGATCGAAATTTTGAAAGCTTCTTTAGCTCTGATCCGCTTTTGGCTCCTCCCTTTTTAGCTGTAGCAGTCGCCATTCCTCAAGACGGACCATTTTTCCAGTGACATCGATCGTATGCAAAAATAGGTATTGGTTCCTTATCTCTAAAACCTATTACAATTAGGGACCAAATTAGGAAACATTGGAAAAACAAATCTGCGTATACAAAATGTCAACCAAACACGTCTGATTGCATTGACATTTCACAAAATACAAACACATTTCTATTAAAAAAATGTAATCCCCATAAATTTCCACAAAAAGGGAATTCCCCTAATTTTTTGCTATGTACAATTGCTCTGACCAGTAAATTTGCTTGTATACATATATGTATGTATAGACATGTCTACACAAAATAACGAAATAGAAACGAATACATACATATGTACACATTTTCTTTATGCTATTTCTTGTTTTCGTCTGGTTTCTGTTGTTGTTGGTGAGCTGTGTGTGTTTTGTTGTGTTGTGTTATTTTGAACCGTGTTAAATGGAATATAACCGTTTAAAAAATTAAAATTTTTGATTTTCAAACCGTGTAAAAAAAGACCGTGTGAAAACAGAATTAGGTGTACATATGTAGTTCTTCTGTCAGGTTGAATAAAAAAACTGCTTAACGTATGAGTATTTCGTTTGTTGATATATTATATAAATCATAAATTATAAGTTGTATTAATTATTTCAATAAAATAGACTGTTCTACAGAAAATTGTATTTTTAAAACTATCTAA